TATATATATATATACACACGCACAGCATGTTCAGTGTGAGCTTTAGTTATTCATAGTCTGCTGGATATGAGATCATGATCAGATTTGTTCATATTTGCTGTGTAACTGATCAAGATGCTGCTTTGAATCTTGAACCTCTGACATTTTCTGTGAACCAATCAGGTTCCTATGATCCTGGTGGGAAACAAATGTGACCTGGAAGACGAGCGCGTGGTCGGCAAGGAGCAGGGTCAGAACTTGGCCCGACAGTGGAGCAATTGTGCCTTTTTAGAGACTTCAGCTAAATCAAAGATCAATGTTAATGAGGTAAGTCCTAATACTACATAGGGCTGGTTTGGTATATTTATTTTATTTTATGTTTATCCATATAGGGATATATAGCACAAATCAGTGCCTCGTATCACTCAGGAACATCCTCTCTGAAAATGTTGCTGAAAATCGGGTCCTTGCACCTGTTACTTCCAGACTGGAAGTAACAGGATGTCCTAGTAAGTCCCTAAAAAGCCTCCAGTTAATCCAAAATGCTGCAGCCAGAGTACTGACAGGAACTAGCAAGAGAGATCATATCTCTCCCATATTAGCTTCTCTCCACTGGCTCCCTGTAAAATTCAGAATAGAATTTAAAATCCTTCTCCTAACATACAAAGCCCTTAATGACAAGGCTCCATCATATCTTAAAGACCTCGTAGAGCCTTATCATCCTAACAGAGCACTTCGCTCTCAGAGTGCAGGTTTACTTGTGGTTCCTAGAGTCCACAGAAGCAGAATGGGAGGCAGAGCCTTTAGCTATCAAGCTCCTCTCCTATGGAACCAACTCCCAGTCTCAGTTCAGGAGGCGGACACCCTCTCTACCTTTAAGATTAGACTTTAAGCTTTATCAAAAAGGAAAGTCTTTAGTTAGTTTGACATAATCAATGATAAAACAACAATATTATATGGAATAGTATTATAATACTGTATAATGTTATGTATGTAAATGGCGTGTCTATATATATGTAGTGTGTATATGGTGGATTATAAATGAATATTGTTTAAATAATGAATGTGAACAGATTAGTTTAATCATTATAGTGTGAAATTGTTACCGTTGTCTTGAAAAGCAATAATTCCCCAAATCTCAGTACAACATTACAGAGTTGCAATGAAAAGATAGGGTGGATTCCATTTGACAGTGGGGTGGAGAGGCCCACATGTTGATGGACCCCTCCCTCACCAAAAAACCTAAAATAAAGGAGGATTTACCAGATGGCGCCTTACTTTTGCCTGTAGATGTCCCCTGGGTTACTGAAGTGATCAAAACTTGACATGTCTAGCTTCTTACAAACACAACAGCAGTGTGATCTCATCATCTTGTCCAAAATTTAAATATATAGCTTTAATAATTTCCTGAGAGGCCCGATTGTTCTCGATGGTGCTTGAATGGAGACTGATCTTTTGAAAGTGAAACCATGTGAAAGTCCGACTCGAACGTTTGTGTCAGCAGAAGTGGATTTGTTTTGACAACCTCTTCCCTACGCAGCTCATACTCCCATTTGATGAGGAAATGGTTAAAATGGCATCAGCTGCTTTCCGCTGTGAGCTCAAAGTACTGTGATGGCTGAGGAAAAATGTTCTTCTGTTGTAGATTTTCTATGATCTGGTGCGACAGATCAACAGAAAAACACCGATGGAAAAGAAGACAAAAAAGAAGTCAAGTTGCACACTGCTCTAAAATGCCCGCCCACAGCAGCTCCCGGCCAGGTGAGTGGGCGTCATGCGCTCCCGCTGCTCGCTCAGCTCTGGAGTCTAATTGAATATTTAGAGGTCTACTGCAGTAATTATCCAAGTAATTTCATTAATTTTGACAGAAGAATACCAGGCAGTGCATTGTAATAACAGGATGAACTCAGTAAGTGAACTGAAAGCATCTTTGGTATATTTGAAACAGTGATGACTCAGTAATCTAAGTCTCCTGGCAGGGAATTGTCAATTAAAACCTGTTGTAGTCTTGTGGTACAGCGAGTTATAGTTAGTTTGTTTCAAGATGTACTGATGAATGGAAGGTTGATTTTAGGGAAACCTGGAATCAACGTCAACAGTCACTGCAGTTAGTTTGTAAGGTTTTATGTAAATATCTGAGGTTGTCAGCCTGTAATGAATGTTGTGGCTCCACCTGCTGTTGGAGCATTGTAACTGGCATTGTCCCAGTGCTACTGCATGTGGCTTGTCCACTGCTGGACATCGATCAGTTCTTAGCTTCTGATTTAAAACGGCTAGAGAAGATGTGATAGGTTCAGTGAGTTTATCTAAGTGACTATAACTTCTAATGGGTCATTCTCGCCCCTGTGAGGTTCACTGAAATCTTCAGGTGTTTATCAAACAACTTGAAGGGGGTTCACTCGTACTGATGAGCCTACGGAGAGTTATCACCTGAATTTGCAGCTCCTTTCAGATTTATGGAGCTACATAGTTAGTTCCAGCTCTTTATTTAGTTGTTTGCAACTTTACTGCTTCAGTTCTTTCACCTCATTTACAGTCACTTGTGCTGATGATGTTGGTTTTTTTTTTTCCTTGCTTGCAGAAACTTGTCATGATTAACGGTTTCCCAGTGGATTGTACCAGCATTCCAAGTCCTCTCCAGAATATTTTGAAAAGGGCTGACGGATACTTCACCACTCTCAAAATGGCTGGAGATGGCCCATACTCTCAAGATGCTGCTCTTTGCTTTTTAATGGCAAATCCATCTTTTTTTCATATTGTCAGCCTGATGACAACTGTTTTTCATCTTTTCTTTTTTTCTCCAAGGTGTCTTTCTGTTGGAAATGTCAGTGAGAAAGACAAAACCATGGGTTTAAATCCATATATGAGAACTAAAATGTTATATTAATCATAATCTTTGGCATATTGTGACAGTTCCATGTGAAATGTTGGCCTTCTCATACATTTCTGCACTAACGGTGTCAACAAAGATGCGTCATTGTCCATAAGTTAGTTGCTCCTACTTACGGGGATGTGTATTGATAACATCTTTTCTAAGTGACTGTTTTATATTCAGAGCTGCAAGCCTTCCATGTTTCCCATAATATATTCTTCCATTTTTGCATAATAAAGCTAAGGAAATTTAGTATTTTATAGACTGATGGGGGAAAACGGTGTATTCTGATTTGTCTCGAGGCTGAAAATGTTGTACTAAACCGAGTCTACTGCTTCTTGTTACCCTGTCACAGGTGATTTTCCAGCTTTTATGAATGATTAAATTTTAGTACATTTTCATTATTTTTGTGTTGGTTTTTTGCCTTATTGAAAATGTTGCTAGGTGTCTTAAATATTTTATAGATGTTTTAATAATTGTGAAACAGTTCTAAATGTTTACTGTTTCTGATTTGCTCGTAGTATCTGGGATAGAACTGCTGACTCTGAACAAGACTACCGATGATGATGATGATTTCTTAATCATATGTTTTATCAGGCAACAGATGAAGCTGGTAATGTGCTCGTCATGTTCCGGTCACACTCACAGGATCAGTACTTCTGAGACGGCCTTCGACAATCTACAAGTGTAGCTAATACTTGCTATAAACGAGCTGCAAGCTAGCAGAGCTTCACCAGGGGTGCTGGCTCAGCTGATTTGCAGTGAAAGAGGAACTGTGACTCCAAATTCTCAGCAGCAGCAGAAACACACAGGAAGTGAAGTGAAGGCAGTATAAAAATAAAAAATAAAAAACCCCAGACTGATCAGATTGTGGTCCAGGGCACGTGAAGACGAAAGAGGCTCAGTCTGCTGCTCCACCACAGATTGATGGTGAGACACCAAAGTGTCTTCAACATAGCATTTAAACACAGAAGCTGCAGAAATATCCCGTTAGCTTACAAAGGTGTGTTCAAGCATCCAGTTTTAGATTTGATATCTAAATGGAACTTTTCTTTTAAGCCATGGTGGAGAGTTGCTCGACTGCTGAATTTAAAGTGGAAAAGTCACTGATGATTCTGAGCTGTGCTTCTGGAGTCTGGGCGCCCATGTCTATGGATAAGGATAATCACCTTTATTGGCCAAGTATGTTACAAGGAATTTGTTTCCGGTACAGAACCGATGGCAGCCATCTGCAGCGCCACCTCAACCGATGGCTCTAACCATTGGGGGCAACGAGGGGGGGTTCAGTGTCTTGCCCAAGGACACTTCGACACGTGGACTGCCAGCACCGAGATTCGAACCTTCAACCTTCTCTGCTCTGGTTTCAGTGGTTGGACTCCAGGGTTGATGATTGATGTCATGAGCCGAGGGCTTCACGCTCTTTTTCACACTGTGAATCTTTAACTGATGAATTCAGTTTGAGGACAATGGAATGAGTTGTGTGCTATTAGTTGGACAAGACTGTGTTTCTTCATGATTGTAACATATGTGATGATCTGGCCATGTTTTAAGACTCTACAAGAAAATGTAGATTGTTGCAAAGGTTTCATTTTCATTTTCTTGCCACAACAGTTTTGAAGTACTTTTATTTTAGCAGTACAAAGAGTTTTGCTGGAGTATTTCCATTTTATGCTAGTTTATACTATTTATACTATATATACAGTATCAAACCATTCCACTGTATTGGAGGATTACTGTTGGCTACAGTTTGATCCTTTATCTGTTGTTCTTTTCCAGGTAAAGCTTTTACACGAAAAGCTGAAGACATACAAGCAGTGTTAGAGGGAGCAGTGGGGGTAGATGTTTAGATTTGTCCTTGATCAAGGCCCATTACCCCAGTGATGGCTGGGTTAATCTCCTAAGGTTCCCTGGGGCCCAGATTTATTACAGGGGCCCCCGATGACCTTGATTATACATGATGTCATTATTTCCCCAGGCACAAACCAGCCAGTACTCTGAAGCTGAAATGATCTGTTGATTAAGCCATTTGTCAGCTGATGGAAATTTAACTCCAAAGTAACAAGTCTGATGACAACTAAATCATTATAATATTTTTAAATGCCCAAATTCCCATGTTCTAGTTTCTCAAATGTGAATAATTTACAATAGTCTCCAATTGTAAACTCCACATCCTTGGGTGTTTTAACTCTGGATCAGAAAGAACAAGACATTAGATTATGTTCACTTGTGTTCCTGCAGCAGATGGGGTGAAATTTGCCAAAATAAATAATATTTAAAACTCTTCTGACTTGTGACAGTCTCTTTGGGGCCACGATTTGCATTTCAGATGTCTCTGGGTTGTTAACAGTTTCACCAAGGAGACATTTCCTCTCTAAGCTTCTCAGATGGTTTGATTAAAATAATTGCTGGGGGCCCAAAGATGTAAATGTGGATTCTATCCAATATTTCACAGAAGAGCAAAGATTAGAGGAAAGTTATTAATAATAAACATTTAAATAGCAGGACACCTCAGATTTATCTTGGGATCCTTTGTGTGGGGCCCAGCCCCCATAGCTTCACCTCCCCAGTTTTAAAATGCTGCTTCTACACACTTACTATCTAAATGTATAGTATGTAAATGTTTACTTTTAATGCTTTAAGCAGGCCTATATTTAGCTTTGGAAGCCTACACTTTCCTGGAGTTGTGCTTCTAATGGAACAGCCTATATTGTCATGTTGGTACATGAACGTTTAAAGGGCCAGAGCTACTTGTTCCACCTCTGCTGACCGTGTTCTGCAGAGGGATCCTCGGCGCAGACCTGCGCGTTATTTCTCCATATTACCACCCGCTGATTGATGAGGGGCGGTGACGCCCCATCTCCCTCACCTACCCGGACCTCCTCCCCGCCTCCTTCCCCCTCCCTCTATCCCACACGCAGGCCGAAAGGCTACGCTACCCCCCCTCCCCCCTCAATCATTTTCCCATCTTCTACTCACTCTCTTCCCTACAACAAACATGGCCGCGAAATCTGATGGAGCACCCGCTTCACTACGAAACGAAATCCCATCCGAGTGTCCCTCCAGGTCGGACCCGCGGCCTCCACAGCACCGTCCTTCCGAGCAGCGCTACTCCCTCTCGGACTGCTGCTGGACCCTCTGCGCCCTTTTGGTCTTCTTCTCGGACGGCGCCTCAG